GGGAGAAAAGAAATATGAATCAATGAGAACTTCCTTCAAAGAGAATATTAAAAATTTTTAGGGAAGTCGCAGGGCCTCCAGAAAAAAATAATAATAATGAAGTATGTCTCAAAGCATATGTGGATGCTTCATGATTTCAGGAATCCTCAGGCCCCAAAGAACCCTGAGGACCCTCAACGAGGACACAGGTCTGACTGTATTTTAAAATAAAAACCTAAACATGACTCCAAGGTAATGACTGCCTTCAAAGTAATATTTCAGTTGATTTTAATATTCTCTACAGAGCCAATGGGTCATGTTTGGTTAGAAGGTGATAATCTACAGAATTCTATAGATTCTAGGTACTATGGACCTATTCCATATGGACTAATAAGAGGATGAATCTTCTTTAAGATTTGGTCTCTGAGTGATTTTGGACTTTTATGTGCCAGCCCTAATGGCCACAGATTTTCTGATGATTAGTAAGGATTTATTCTTTTGAATTAATTATTGTCTTCTGTTCACGTGAATTTATTATTCATGTTGAAGCCATGTGCTTACCAATAAACTATTTGCTATTCAAAAATAAATAAAATAAAATACAGTCAGGCCATGTAGAAAAACACCACACCTTTTTCCTCAGTGGTAATCACTGCAAGGTCTCCATCTTCTTTGTGGATTTTATATATAATTCCAGAATGCAGCAAAAAGTGTGAATCATCTTTTTCTTCCTGACTTATTCCTCACCCCCTTGGGACACTGTTATGCACAAGAATGTCATCTGTGTCCTAGCACATCTGAATTTCTTTAACAGAAATGCCTTGCATGTTTCTGACGACTGTCATGAGGCCCAAGGCAATAAAGTTCAACAGACTTGAGCTGTAATCTTCTCCCAAGGAAATGGTTGGGATGCCAAGATGCCTTTTGACTTTAATTTCACAGCAGGGTTTCATTTGTAATGACACTGTCCAAACTTTAAATGACAACAGCTGTGATATGAAGCCCTACACACTCATTTATAATAATTTCCGACAAATTAAAAATATTAAACAATGGGGAATTTCAATCCATTACCAATTAGCAGGGAATAGGCAATCATAAAACATTTAGACAAGTAGGCGCTATTTATTATCTTGCAAAGTGTTTACGCATTGTAGTGCATGTCTAAAACCTGTGCGACAGTCAAATACTGATTGCAAAATATAAATATAAAATTCTTTGGAAATCACATTAGAGACATTTTAAGTTAATTAGGTTGAAAGGGAAAATTTTTAGAACGTAAGTCTACAATTATTGACACAGCAACAGCATTCCAGAATTGTGCAGTTATCTGTTGGGGAATCAGTCCATAAATATACATCCTGAAGTCCCCTGTGCTTTGGCCAAATATTAGCATTGTAGCAGTAAACATACCAGGCATTTTATAAACTTGCAAGGTCATGAATACTTATACATGTTGTATTCTGAACTTTGCTTTGTAATTTACCTTTAATTTTCCTGCTACAGCTAAAGAGTGAACCCAGCAATCTTAATTTCCCATTATCCTCAATTACTTCATACTTTTAACCTAGATAACTTTGAACTGTTGTGGTCAACATTCCAGTTTGATAAAACTCTGGAATCTCTAAAAAATGTTATATTTAAACATTAAAGAAAAAATTAGATTGAAAGGAACAATGTGTTACAGAACTGACTTTCCTTTAGAGTTTAGATTAGACACAGCTCAGAAAAAAGATATTTTCAGTTGCCCAAAACATTGAAAACACTTGCATCTTCTACATAAGGACAAAAATTAAAAGCACAAATTCCTCTTTACATCATATTATTCTCCTGTTCAAAAATACCGCTATTTTCTGACCATTACAGAATAACGACCAAACTCTTCTGCCAGGCTTACTAGGCCTCCATGGTACGGATACACCTCTATACACACCCTATCATATGGGCCCCTTCTACAAGCTGCAGCTCTAGTCGACCTATTTAGTTTATCATCTTCTAATCTACACCATACTTCTTATTCTACATCATACTTCTATTCTACATCAGCCATATCTAATATGGCTGAATAAGCCCTTCCATGCTTTGTTTTGTCATTTACATGCTTTCTCCTTGGTACCTTCATATGGCTGCCCCCATATTTCTCCATTCTTTCCAAGTACAATGTTAAGCAAAAAATAGGTAAAAGAATTTTATTACAGCTTCAGCCTCAGGTTATATTTTACCACTAAATAAACCTATAAAACAATAAAGGAGGACAGGCACATTGGCTCACGCCTTGTAATCCTAGCACTTTGGGAGGCGGAGGCGGGTAGATCACCTGGGTTGGGAGTTTGAGACCAGCCTGACCAACATGGAGAAACCCTGCCTCTAGGAAAAAGAAATTACAAAATTAGCTAGGCTTGGTGGTGCATGCCTGTAATCCCAGCTACTCAGGTAGCTGGGACAGGAGAATCGCTTGAACCCAGGAGGCAGAGGTTGTGGTAAGACAAGATTGCGCCATTACATTCCAGCCCAGGCAACAAGAGAGAAGCTCCATCTTAAAAAGAAAAAAGACTAGGCAAGGTGGCTCACATCTGTAATCCTAGCACTTTGGGAAGCCAAGGTGGGCAGATCACCTAAAGTTGGGAGTTTGAGACCAGCCTGACCAACATGGAGAAACTCCAACTCTACTAAAAAAAAAAATACAAAATTAGCCAGGTGTGGTAGTGGTGCATGCCTGTAATCCCAGCTACTAGGAAGGCTGAGGCAGGAGAATCACTTGAACTGGGAGGTGGAGGTCGTGGTGAGCCGAGATTGTGCCATTATACTCCAGCCTAGGACACAAAAGTGAAACTCTGTCTCAAACAAACAAACAAACAAACAAAAAAAACGAAAAGCCAAAAACAAACAAACAAAAAAACAAAACAGGCTGGGTGGTGGCTCACGCCTGTAATCCCAGCACTTTGGGAGGTCGAGGCGGGCAGATCATGAGGGCAGGAATTCTAGACCAGCCTGGCCAACATGGTGAAACCCCGTCTCTACTAAAAATACAAAAATTAGCTGAGTATGGTGCTGCACGCCTATAATCCCAGCTACTCAGGAGGCTGAGGCAGGAGAATTGCTTGAATCCAGGAGGGAGAGGTTGCAGTGAGCTGGGATCATGCCACTGCATTCCAGCCTGGGAGACTCCGTCTCAAAAAACAAAACAAAACAAAAAAACCATAAAGGATGTATCACAGTTTTGAACAGCATTGTTACTTATATGTACAGTGACACCCATTGAGATAGAAGGTGAATGCTAGGCTTGACAAACAATATCAAGCTTTATTTTAAGTTCTTTGAGTGAATGGACCAAGTCAGTTTCAACTACATGCCTGGAAACTAGAACACTGCATCTGGCTTATGGTAATAATAGCTAACGTTTATTAAGTGTTTACTAAGTATCACACATATTCTAAGTATGAATTTACAGATAATACTTCATTTAATCTTCACAATGTCTCAATTAGATAAGATACTGAAATTATGTCCTTTTTGTTGATGAAGAAACTGAGCCTCTCAGACGTTTAATTATTTGCCTGAGATTACATGATCAAAAATGGCAGGGCCAGAATTTGAATCTGGGTAGTCTTACTCCAGTATTTGTGCTTGAAATCCCAATGTTGTCTCACCTATTAAATGCAATATGATATTGCACTGAATATAAAAATGGTATCTGTGGAAACATAATTCAGGAAAAAGAAACCCTCTAATAAGTTATAAATAATATCCTCAAGAGAGTTTAAAAATATACAGCTATGAAAAACCAATTAAAAACATAATTGCTACAATTAAAATGCAATGGAAGGGCTTGAAGAAAATTTTCTCATGTGTTCTTTTATTTTACTTCTATATTTAGGAATTAAAAAAAATTATGAAATATAGAGGATGAAGTAAAAGCTTCTAAAATATACCTAACAGGAGTACTGGAAACAGTGAATAGGTAAGGCACATGGGGTAAAGTAAAAGAAATGATTTTAAAAATTTTGTCTTCAGAGGCAGACAGTCCACATAAAACAAATGAAAGAGAACTACTGTATACTGAGACATATTGCAGTGCAATTTCATTACACCAGTGATAAAGAAAAGATTCTAAAAGCTGTCAGAGAGAGAGACACACACACACACACAGAGAAAGCAGTTCATCTACAAAGAAACAAGAATTAGCCGGGGTGGGGGGGTGGGAGGGAAGCTCAACAACGTTAGATGATAGAAAATCACACCGGGCACTACCAAGGCGGTAGGGAAGGAAGGGGGCAAGAGTTGAAAAACTGTTGGGTACTATGCTCACTACCTGGGTGATGGGATCAATTTGTATCCCAAATCACCAGCATCATACAATATACTTGTGTAACAAACCTGCACATGTACCTCCGAATCCAAAAGCTGAAATTACTTAGAAAAAGAAAGAAAATCACAAACAGCAATGTTTTCAGAGTACTGAGAAAAAATACTTAAAATTTTCTTTTATTAAAAAAAAAATAATATACAGTAAAGTGGACTTATTTTCTGGCTATATAGTTCTATGGATTCTAGCATATAACCACATTAGATCATATAATCACAGCCAAGATTCAGAATATAGAACAGTCCTATCACTCCCCACATTTCTCACTGCTATCTGTTTATGGTCATGCATCCTGCTACCCCTAGTCCCTGGTAACTACTGGTCTCTTCCCTGACACTATGGTTTTGTCTTTTTGAGAATAAATGAAATTGCACTTTTTATAACCTTTTGAGAGTGGTTTCTTTCACTCATGACAACATCTTTGAGATTCATCCACACTGTAGTACACAGTACTTCATTTTTATTGCTGAGTAGTACTCCATTGTATGCATGCACCAGTTTGTTTATCCATGCATCTGCTGAAGGACATATGGGTTGTTTCCAGGTTTTGGGAATTACAAATAGAGCTGCTATTAATATTCACATAATTGTTTTTGTGTTAATGTAAGTTTTCATTTTTTGTGTTAATGTAAGTTTTCATTTTTTTTTCTTCCAGGGTAAATCCCTAGGAATGAGATGACTGGGTCACATGGTAAGAATATGTTTTAACTTTATGATAAACTGCCAAACTGTTTTCCAGGTAGGTTGTACTATTTTATTTGACAGTTCTAGCATCTCTGCTTCCTTGTCAGCACTTGATATTTTCAGTGTTTTTATTTTAGCCATTCTAGTATGTGTGTAGTGGCATCTCCTTCAGGTTTAATTTGCATTTCCCTAATGGCTAAGATATTGAACCAATTTTTATGTGCTTATTTACCATCTATATATCCTCTATGATAAACTGTCTGCTCAACTTTTATCTTTAATAAAAATCAAGTGGCTTGTTTTAATATTTTGTAAGAGATATTTAAAATATAAGACCTTTGACAGATAGGTTTTGCCAATATTTCCTCCTAGTGTGTGCTTTGCATTTTAATTTTCAACAGTATCTTTTGTAAAAAAGGTTTAAATTCTGATAAAATCCAATTTATCATTTTTTTTCTTTTATGGTTTATGCTTTTTGTGTTTTAAGAAATCCCTGCTTGACCCCAAGGTCAAAAATAGTTCCCCTATGTTTTCTTCTGAAGTTGTATAGCATAAATGCTTATATTTAGGTCTACAACCTAATTTTTATAAATGATATTAGCTAAGAGTTGAATTTCACTTCTCCCATGTGGAAGTCCTGTTCCAGTACCATCTGTTGAAAAGACTACGCTTTCCCCTTGAATTATCATGCCTTTGTTAAAAATAAATTACCTATATATATGTAGGTCTATTTCTGGCCTCCCCATTTTGTTCTATGTATCTATTTGGCAATTCTTTAGTTTTATTTTGTTTTTGTTTGTTTTTGAGATGTTGCTTTACTCTGTCACCCAGGCTGGAGTGCAGTGGCTTTATCTTGGCTCACTGCAACCTCCATCTCCCGGGTTCAAGCAATTCTCCTGCTTCAGCTTCCTGAGTATCTGGGATTACAGGTGTCTGCCACAATGTCTAGAAAATTTTTGTATTTTTAGTGGAAACAGGGTTTCATCATGTCGGCCAGGCTGGTCTTGAACTCATGACCTCAAGCGATCCGCCTGCCTCAGCCTCCTTAAGTGCTGGTGTTACAAGTGTGAGCCACTGTGCCCAGCCTCTTTAGTTATTCTTAGTTTAAGCTATGACTATAACTTATATATAGCTTTTACACATATATCTGCATTAAAAATGAGGTCTACTGATTTTCACTTTAAGCATTATGTTTTGCCTCAATAGAGGTTTACAAAATTAAACTAGTTTATCATTATTTATATGAATACAAATTTTTTTTTCTTTCAAGCAAATTTAAAGAAATGTTATTATGATTATAGGCCAACACCATTATAATTTAAAGGCCATTTGTAGTATACTGAAAAAACTAAAGGACTTGCTTTGAAACATATCCTTGTAACTGAGCACCCCCATTTGTCTGAGAGAGACAGGATGAGCTATTTTTTTTTTCTTTTCTCCATCTCTCCCTCTTTTCCTCTTCCCACTTAGCCCTTCAGAAATGCAATTATAACTTTTTACCTCCCCTTCACCAGACACTCCCTACAGACCAAGTTCATTTAACTATGTGCTTAGAAGCTCCAGAGTGGAGCTCTCACCAACCAGGAGGCTGCCTCGAGAGACAACAGTCAGTCTGAAACCCAAACTATGCCCACTAGGAAACTTTCTCCTACCTAGAGAGTTTCAGCTACCTTTACAACCTAGTTCTGCCTACAAAGACACGAGTGGTCACCAGCTCAATTGCCGGGTAGATAGGGTACTGAAGCAAGTCATGTGGATCCCCTCCTCTTACTTCCTCCCCTGCATGCCATTCATGCAACCCCCCCTTTTAAAAGCACCTGCTTTCTGCTCCAAATGTGAGGCAGTACTCTTAAGGCAAGAAGGCTGTACTTCTTCCCCTAAACTAGCTTTAGAATAAAAAGTCATTTTCTTTATGCTATATTTCTCTCATTAGTTGGACTCTGTACCTGGCAAGCAACTAAACCTACATTTTGGTTACATCCTATTTAAAAGCAACAACAACAAGAGGCAAGGTATGCTGAGCTCTACAATGGAGAGACTAAGCAATTTAAATCCAGTGGCAGAATTTTAGCTACAGTGAGACAGACTTTAGGGATGGATGAGACTCTCAAACAATGTGGCTACAATGGTTTCAGTCTAAATGCAGTTCTTAGAAACATAATGGCCACTGTTTACTATCGCTGTGAAATTCTGAATCTGTCAAAAGTTGTTTGAGTAAATAACCTTAAAGAAAGAAAAGCTATTTACAAAGGGACATATTTTCTTGCCTCTAAAGCAATACATGCTTCTAAGTTACCATTTCCTAGCCAGGCTCCTCCTGGCACATGGAGATTATGCTGTGAATTGCAGGAGGAAGCGTTTAGCAGTAACCTTTGGAATGTAACCCCTTACTGGCAAAGTATCTGTACCTACTGATTTTCTTTACCCTTTAAAAAAAAGAATCTCTAGTTCCTGGCTCCAAACAGCCACCTAAATTTCAATCAAATATTGCAATAAAATCCAAACTAAGTGGATTTCACTGAAGTATAAAGTGTGAGGCAGAGAATTAGGGACCAGATTTGTTAGCTTGGGTTGAATTTCATGCTAGTTCCATTAATTAAAAAGCAATTTTTGCTAAATCTCTGTAATGGCTTTGATGTTCTCAATTGTTCTTACTTATATCTACCACGACTCCAGGAGCTTCTATCATCAGGATCAAAGGAAAATGAATGGTAGTAAAGTAAAACAAGACTAGTGTCTTACGCTAAAGTTTGAGCATGGGTTTCTACAGCACTGATGTCTGACTGAAATACAGATGGTTCCAGACTTACGATGGTTCGACTTAACAATTTTTTGAGTTTAAGACGATGTGAAAGCGATGTGCATTCAGCACGGAGTATACTTCGAGTACCCACACAATATTCTATTTTCTACTTTTAGTACAGTATTCAATAAATTACATGAGATGTTTGACAATTTATTATAAAACAGGCTTTGTATTAGATGATTCTGCCCAACTGTAGGCTGATGTAAGTGTTCTGAGCATGTTTAAAGTAGGCTAGGCTAAGCTATGATGTTCAGTAGGCTAGGTGTATTAAATGCATTTTCTTATTTTTATTTATTGATTGACTGATTGAGACAGGCTCTTGTTCCGTCACTCAGGCTGGAATGCAGTGGCATGATCACAGCTCACTGCAGCCTCCACCTTCCAGGCTCAGGCAATCCTCTCACCTCAGTCTCCCAAGTAGCTGGGACACAGGTATACACCATCATTTCCAGCTATTTTTTGTATGTTTCATAGAGATGAGGTCTCACTATGTTGCTCAGGTTGGTCTTAAACTCCTGGGTTCAAGCAGTCCTCCCTCCTCAGTCTCCCAAAGTGTTGGAATTATATGGAATTATAGGCATGAGCTACAGCACCCGGCCTAAGTGCACTTTCAGCTTATGATATTTTCAACTTACAAAGAGTTTATCAGGATGTAACCCCACTCTAAGTCAAGCAGGATCTGTATGATGTGAGCCATATGTGTAATTTAATATTTTCTAGTATCCTCATTCAAAATAGTAAAAGGAAACAGGTAATTAAATATATTTTATCTAACCCAGCACATCTGAAATATGATAATTCAACTTAAAACTAATATAAAAATCACTAATCAGATATTTTACACTCCTTTTTTGGACTAAGTCCTCAACATCCAGTGTGTATGTCATACCAACAGCATATGTCAGTTTGGACTAGACATATTTCCCCACGTTGTATCTAGTTCCACATGTGTTACATTAGACTGTAATACCCTTAAAATGTAGATCTTGGAATCCTAAAGTTACAGAAAGTATGATATTCTCTCTCTTTTCTTCCCACAACTGCCCTTTCCTTAGGCTTTTGGCTGCTATTTTTAGAATACTGTTTAGAAAATTATGGCAGGGGACATCAAATCAGGGTTCTGAACTTGTTATAGGGCTACTAAAAAATGTCAGTTTCTGCAGGCTAAAAAATAAGGAGGTTTGGAATCATGTAATAACATGTTTTCCATGAAATTAGTTATAGATAAACAGTTATAGAGAACAGTTTGAACTTCAAAGGGTATCAAAGTCAGATAGCCTCAAAGACTGATATGTGGATCTTTCCCCTTTGACCTTGTTATGAAACTGGGCTGTTTTCACTGCAGACTATCTATAATCTGGCTTAAGCTGTGCTTATAAAAATGTTTTAGTCTCCTTGTTTTATTTTTTTCTTTTCACACTGAGTTTTGGTCATTTCTGCACTGAATAAGTAGAAAAATATTTGGGGTAGACTGTATTTGATTTTCCTGTAGCTATTAGAAACTTGCAAACCTTTTTTGTCACTGGTGACAATTCAAAATTGAAGTTTAGCCTTAAGAATAAAAAAAAAAAATTTGTCTTTTTTTTTTTTTTTTTCCTTTTAACAAACTATCATTGGAAAGACTGAAAATCTTAAGTAGGGAAAAAAACCAAAAGGATGACCCCTACCTTAAATTTCATAACGCTATATCTATCAAAATTCTTATATTAGGACACACATTCTTTTCAAGTGCACAAGAAGTAGCTGCCAATATAGACCATATACTGGACCATAAAACATCTTACAATAAATTTAGAAGCATGTTATCTGAACAAGATAGAAGTTAGAAAGTATTAAGAGAAAAACCTCTGAAAGATCCACACAAGGATTATAATATAAACTATATAACATAATTTAAAATAAACTAAGGGTTCAAAGAAAATCAAAAGGGAAATGAGAAAGTATTTAAAATAGAATAAAAATGAGCCGGGTGTGGTGGCTCATGCCTGTAATCCCAGCACTTTGGGAGGCTGAGGTGGGCAGATCAACTGAGGGCGGGAGTTCAAGATCTGCCTGACCAACATGGAGAAACCCCATCTCTACTAAAAATACAAAATTAGCTGGGTGTAGTGGCACATGCCTGTAATCCCAACTAATTGGGAGGCTGAGGTAGGAGAATCATCGTAACCCAGGAGGCGGAGGTTGCAGTGAGCTGAGATTGCGCCATTGTACTCCAAACTGGGCAACAAGAGTGAAACTCCATCTCAAAAAAAAAAAAAAGAATAAAAATGAAAACATATTATATCAAAATTCGTTGGTTGCTGGTAAGGCAGTACTTAGTGAGAAATTTATAGCACTACATACCTGTGTTAGAAAAGAAGAAAGGTTTTGAATCAATCACTTTAGCATCTACCTTAAGAAAACGGACAAAAAAACAGTTAAATATAAAGTAAGTAGAAGAAAGGAAATAAAACTTCATGTAGAAATCAATAATAGAAAACATAAAAACAATAGAGAGAAAATCAGTGAAACCCAAAACTGATTCTCTGAGAAGTTTAATATATAACTCTCTAGTTCAACTGAACAGAATAAAAAGGGGAGACAACAAATTATAGCTATGAGAAATGACAGAGATAACATTACTCTAGATTCTACACATATTAAAAAGATAATGAAGAACTAGGATTAACATGTTATGTCTATATATTGGATAACTTAGACAAAATGAATAAATTCCTTTTAAGATATCAATTGGTAAAGACCTCTTACAAAATAACCCTAATATACCATGTCTATAAAATAATTAAACTTGAAGTTAAAAACCTTCTCATAAAGAAAAATCCAGGCCTGGATGGCTTTATTTGTGAATTCCTCCAAATATTTAAGGAAGCAATAATACCAATTCTAGACAAACTCTACTGGAAAATCGAGCTGGAGTATACACTTCCCAACTCATTTTATGAGGTCAGCAATACCCTGCTACCACAACCAGACACAGAAATGAGCAAATCAAATCCAACAACATATTTAAAAACTTAAACTGGATGCAGTAATATGT